TAAAAAAAAAAAAAAAAAAAAAAAAAACTTTTACTATATATATATATATATACATATATATGAGACTGTGTTAGTGTGTATCTGTAATTTAGCCTTTGAATTCTCTTTTAGCAATTTTCACACCATTTCATTCTGGTGTTACTCTTGAAAAAACCCTTTTTTCATATTTAATTTTTTATATTTCATTTATTTATTTAATTTTTTTTTTTTTTTTTTTTTTAACGATTTCCAACGTTCCTTCTTGCTGCTGTTTTATGTAACTTTAATTTTGTAAATAGTTGTTTGAAGTCGGTAAATAAAGTAATTCCGTTTCAGTAGAAATGCTGCCAATAAGGCTTAAATACCTTATACTTTGCTAAGGATGTCATAGAGAGTGGGATCCTTTTTCCGTTAGTTTTTATTATCAACAACTAAGCATTCAGGCATTCAGGCAGAATCATAAACTCTTCAATTTCATCATTCTATTTCACTTGCTATAACGCAAACTTTTTATGGAAACGGCTTGTGAATTGTTTATGCCCTTCATGCGAACGACGGGGAAAACAAGAGTCATATATGCAACGACTAAAATCACGTATTGTATAAAAAATTCATCCGCGAGCTTAAGACATTTATTTGCGTATTTATTTATATACGTATAAACATATTTAAACAAATGTATATACAATGTAAATAAAGTTTTTCGAGACTTGGACCATTTAAGCGGCATTCTAATGTTTTAGTTATGGTTGACCCAATAGTTTTGTATACACAGATTTCTATTAATCTTGTCGGAAGCTGTAGAAATGTTTTCCTAGTCATTTCTGCCTAACCAACCGTCCATTTAGATTGTATAAAAGCCTCAGTTCAATTGGCTATAAAACTGAAACTAAAACTAAACTTAATATTTTATATGCGGACTTAACTAATCGTCCAGTGGCCATGTCTAGATATTCGCATTAAAGATTACATTCATACAATATACATTTTAAAAAGCGAGCTAAGCAATTGAAATTTGTTTCAGATACTGTTGTTCAATCCTCATAGGTCACGGATTCGTGTAAAAGTAAATGTGTCCAAACTAAAATTTAAAAGAACCAAATAAGAAAATTATATTCAATTGGGGTCGAATCTCATCTACCTACCGAAGCAAAATATTAACGTCACCACGTCGTAGACGTCCATCATAATTAATTAAAGTTAATACACTAAGCTTGTCGTAGTCTAATCTCCAAGGCCAAATAATAGGCCTGGAGTTAAGAGAATGTTTTGCACCTTCAATTATTTGCTTAATGCGAGTAAGCACTCAAGTTTCCCTCCAAAGGCGATATAACCTTCATATCATGTGTTTTGACAAATACATATGAAAACTAAAGAATTTATGTTATATTTAGCCGTT